GTGCAGAGCATATTTTTAGGAGTTTTATATTCGATAAATCCCATCCGATTGCATTTGTTTTCATCTTAAAAATTGTTTATCGGCCTACCTGCCGCTGTCCAAACTGTCACAAGCCAGAATAGATAAGAGATAGAATTATATAAACCCACTAGTGCCGACAGAAAATTTCACCAGAAAGGTACAGATTTTCTGGTTGAAGTTATTATCTCGCAAACGAGTCACAAGGGATTCTCATAAAACCGAAGTTTGAGTGAGCGTGTATCTCAGTTGGATATTTCTAGCTTCACGACACCCTGTGGTATTTTATTCCTTAATGTGTTGCATATAGTTCTCACAAAGTTTGTTGAATGTTTTGTTTGTATCTTCTCATCAGTATCAACCGTTTCTGTTTCATTTTATTTTAAGAAAAACTCAAGCACTTTTTCCAGAAATGTAATACTCTTCTCGACGCGCGTTTTACTAACCAAGTTGGTGTCTTCAGAAGGTGATATCTAGAAGAAATCTTGTGGATGTTCTTCGAAACTTGGCTCTTGAATACTCGATTTAAATATTGTTGTCCATATCGCATTTTTAGGGGTTTCACGATACTTTGATCAAAAGTGAACAGAGTTTTTGTTACACGGAATATTATGACTGTTAATATATATTTTTGGGGTCAGGACGTGGAGTTTACTCCAGATCACTAGGCCTAAGAATTGAGTGGGGAATGGGAAAATATACCAGCGTGGTTCAAACAGAACTAGCTGGTATCTCAATCGCCACAAAAGACATAACCAGGAAAGAAATTTCTGGCAAAAATATAACAATCTGCACTGATAATAGAAAAGCCCTATTAACTTCGAACAGATAACGTGTTACTTCAGTGCTGGTACTAGAGTACCTCCAAGATTTAGCCAAAGCCTCGGTAGATAAAAACATCCTGAGGTGGATTGAAGGGCATGACAAGAGTAAAGTTGATCGCATTGCCGACTCTTTAGCCAAAGAAGCTGCTGGACTAAGAATTTTAGGATCCAGTGACACCTACGGCCTGAGGACTTCGACAATTGCGGAATTAGCCAAACCTACCCATGCTCAATCCCTAAAGAGATGGGATGGAATCAAAGGATGCAGTCTTGCCAGGACCACCTTTTGCGACCCTGGGAAGCTGGCGCCGAAGGAATATCTGGCGATGACCAGGGAATACCTACGCTTAAGAGTAGTATTTCTGACTGGCCACTGTCAACTAAAGAAACACCTTCATATTATAGGGCTAGTGGACACACCTCTATGCAGGATGTGTGAATAAGAAGATGAAACTGTCAGGCATGTCTTATGCGAGTGTCCTGAGTTATTGCCAATGAGGGAGTGTGTTCAGCGAGTCTTGGCCTACACCTGCCGATATAAAGGAGATGTCTCCTAGTGACCTGTCCACCTTCCTGGAAAGAAAGAAAGGAAGAAAGATGTACAAGTGGCCTAAGTGCTGTGGGCCTACACTCCACCCTCCCTACTCTACAGATACAGATACATTTTTGGGGTGCTGATTTTTTGTAACAGCTTCAGTTTTAGAGACATAATAAAATCGTGATTTAAGATGAAATATATCAATACGTAACAACCATTAGAAAAACAACACTATTTATCAAAAAAAAAAATATAGGATTTTCTTGCTTGACTTGATTCACATGGGCTATTTTTGATGTTCCAACAATAATCCGCCATCATGTAAGCATCCCAGTGACCCTAGTACTGCTCATCTATAGTTCAAATATGTTGATGGAACCGTTCCCGCTGTTCTTTACTGATATCACCAAGATTTTCATGGAAATGATATGAATGGCTGTGTAGGAAATATACATTTATACTCATATTACAACTAACCTACTGGAAGTGCGACATTATTTTTTCAACATGCTCAGCATAGCTTTCATTCTTTTTGTTTTCAAGAAAATTTTGTGCTATCTAAACGAATTCATTCCAGGCATTTTTTTCAATATCAGTCATTTAACAATCGAAGTTTTCATCTTTTATCAACCTTCGTATTTGTGAACCATTGAAAATTCCATCTTTCAATTTCTGTGGACTCATATTATGAAACATTTCAGATTTTTGGGAAAGAAAGTTTTTGGCTTTCTACTATTCCATCTTGATACAGAAAAGGATGAGGGAATCTTCCATTAAGAACCCAGTACTTGTCACGGGTGAGATCGTTTTTACAGATATTTCTCGATGAAGAGATTGTAACTAAAAATGAATTTGTAAAAGGATCACTCGGTTTTATGAAAGTTGGGTGTTACTATGTACACAAATATGGTCAATAAGTGTATCTCAAAAGGTAGAGCTGTTAGAAAAAAAGGGGGGGGGTTCATTGGAAATCAGTGATGAAATTCCACCCAATAAAAAAAAACAAGTGAATGTTGTTCCCTTGTGAATCATTTCATCTACACTCTAGAATGTAATGGAGTATTTTCAGTACCTGACCTCCAATGCTAGAACTTATGGCAGTGCTCAATTTATCTTTGGTCCAGCCGTTGGCTACTGCTTCGAAATGTCGGCAGAAATGACCCTTGATAACTGTCCATAAATCATTTCACTTTGAGATATTATTGATGCTCCCAATAGAACTGTTCTCATTAATGCGGGTTCCCTCTGCTCAAACGGAATCGGTTAACTGGTCATGTGACCATGATCGAGTTATTTTGTGAGTCTGTTCAATTATTCATCCTAATCATTGTTTGTTCACTCAGTCTAGTTTGTTTTCAGTTATGTAAATCAGGATTATGATCAATATTTTGAAAAATTTCAGTTTCTTTCCGAATAGTGTAGTATAATAAAATCCACTTTCAGACTAACGAATCATTTCAATTCCAGATTTATAATTATTTTTCATTCATTTGAGAAACTTATTGTGAACCTAACTGCCATTCAAATTCATCTCGAAAAATCAACCAGTTGGGAATTTTGAAGTGTTGGGTACAAATTTTTTCGATAATTTATTGTCATTGCATACTTCATGAAAATTAAATGAATTGAAAAAAATTATCTGATAATAATCTCCATGAGCTTGAATATAATGGTTGAAGCCAATTTTGCTTGAACATACTAACTGAGATAATTGATAATCCGACGAGAATTTTGGCCGGAATGTTCTTTATGTTTATCGATCCCAAGAAACACACAATGTTTATACAGGAATTATAACAAATAACAGACGAATAATTATGAATTAACATTATCAAGTTTTTGATTTGGTCAAAGAAGGAGTCGATTCTATTTTAGAAATTTCAATTTTTTCAGTTTACAAATTACGGGATTGCAGAGTATTATACACAAGAGTAGGTATCTGAATTTCATCCTAGAAAAATAAATCTTCATTTCGTATAAGAAGTCAGAATCTGAAATATTTCGTGGTCTATAGTTCTAAAAAGGTAATTTGAAAATACACTCAACTGTCTTATTTTGCTAAGACTTGAGGATTTTCAATACAGATTTTTTTCATTGTGTACCATTCTGCAATTACATATAGAATATTTTGATTCATCAGACTGGAATATATCATTTTCAGATATTTGATAGATACAAACTATCTCAATCAATACAGAATTGAAAAAAAATCTAGAAATGCTGAAATTTTGTATAATGCTAGATTGGGGGCAGATAAAGTAAATATATAGTTATTTTTCGACCTATTCCGAAAATTTGAAGGTCATCATGAAAATGGAAACCACTGTAAAATAGTTTATTCAAACCATTTTTCGAGAAATTTGATATACTATGCTACATTATTTGAAACAGGGAAAAAACTGGAATTTCATTTATGATTATCTGAATAACTTATTATCCACACAGTCTATTGAAATATTAGGTAAAATGTAATACTTCAAGCCGCCATCATTGTGACGTTATAGATACTCCAGAGGTTGAGTGAACGACAACATGATTTTATACTCAGAAAATCACACTGAATACAACCATTCCATTTGTTGGTGTACGTAAATGATACTTTCCCCAAAAAAAACGTTATTTTAAACGTTAGTTTAAATTGGCCTGTTAAATAATTTCCAATTATTCGATAAAAACACAGGTAAGTATACTGATATCAGGTTATGAACAAACCGAATAAAATAATCTTCTAAACAATAATGCGTGATAATTTATTCTCAGTGTAATTCGATGAGAAAGTAACTAGCCAAATTTCAGTGGATTACCGGAAAACATTTGGCAACGTCCTATGAATAATGTCAGTTTCTACTGGTAGTGCCTGAAATTTACTACTCAATGTTCAAGCTTCACTGATCAACTATAGGAGACATTCAACAATTTCATAGAACCCCCAAATCAGACAATATTTTCAGTTGTTTATGATTACTAAGAGCTGAGCCATCAGAGAAACATGTTATATATCGTTTACTTTCAACACCCTTCACTCAGATTGGAATCAACTCACGACACTGTTGCCCGAGAGGCTCACATTTTTTTAACCTTTGCTACAGAACTAAACTCCAGTAACTGAAGTAACCGAATAAATTTCTTAAGAGGCCCAGATACATGAGTACAAATGTTATACGAGACTGCCGACTTACTATAAACTTGTTCAGTTCACCTATATTTACATGAATTCTCATTGAATCCATTTGAAATATATTTTTACCACAAAGCATGACGAGGCAAACTGATCAATTTAATCATTCTAGCATGTTTGTTCCATCACGATTATCTAAATTTGAGACTGCCAATACATATCTGCATTTTATTTCAAAAACTCAAATAATTGTTGTGTCGGTGCTGGAATACTAGCCACCGCAACTCCTGCATTTCAAGTCATAACCACACTTTATATTTGTGTTCATGTTTGTTCAATGCAAAGTGTCAAATTTGTTTGTTGTTTTTAAAAGGACGTTCTGCAGTTTGATGCGTAAGATCTCATATTATTAACACAATACTCAGGTAAGAGATATAAAATTGACATAATGTTTCAACTAATCCGCAACTACGTTAAATTGTGATATAAACCAATACGCGAATGATTTCTTAAGTATTTATTTACATATATTAACATGGAATAAATCCCAGAATAAAAACTTGAACATGTATGTTGTATCGTACCTTATATATAACATGTATGTAAACATAACAATCATAACAATAATATTCTCACTAAATATACTTTCAAATTACATCATTTTCCAATGATTAAAAATCGGGTTTACTACCTTTGAATACAGCTTGAATTACTCCGATTTCATAATAATGTTTCACAACAACAAAGTGTCCATTTTTCAATGAAAACTGGTTCATATTTATTATGTTGGGTATGGTAGAGCCTCCAACATTTCTGCTGAAACCAGAAATTCCTTCGTAGATGTAGACATTGAAAGGTTCGGCCGGGTTTTCTGTTGTTATGTACAGTACTAACTCTTGTGTTGGAAGCAGTGCGAATTCTATTTGTACAGGGGTTTTTAGTTTAATTGTTTGCCATATGACAAATTCTTCCAAGTTTTTATCGAATCTGAAAAAGACATTTAGGTAAGTAGTGACTAGGTACTTATGCGAATTTATATTCATTCAATAATACAATTACATTCAATTCATGATTGAGACATTTTTTTTCTGAACAAAAATATAATCAGTTATTTATCGCAAACCACACAAATCCAGTTTAAAGATGTTTGAAACATTGTCAGTTGATAAGTGGCGTCATCGGGAAAGTATCTGAACTAAACAGTTTAGATCATGATTTGTATAGAAGTGTGTAATTGTTGGACAGAGTGGATTGCCCTAAATTTGCTATTTTGTTATTGTTACTTAAAAGTATGTATTCGCGGGCATAAAGTTTCGGAGATACTTTCATTCAAAAGTACAAAAATTAATTGTTTTAAAGAAATCACTTTTGGTATGGAATAAAAACGATAACACAGAATATACAAAAGATTTGACTTTGATCGTGGTATTCTATAACTGTCTTTCCTGGTGTATTTCACAGTAAGCTCACAGAGCTAAACAATAAAAATGTTAATACTTAGTAAATGTATATAAGATATCTAGCTCTTTTGTGTTCTCCTACAGGTATCTAGGTAGTTGCAATAAATTCTACAATCATTGAAAGTTACTTCTTTGTATGATCTAGTCTCTAGACAGTTTATTTTGGAATTATTTGATTTCCTCCTTTCTTTGTAAGATATCCACACTTTTTGTATGAATATGGAGAAAAGTAGAAAGCCAAAAAAACTTTCTGTCCCAAAAAAAGACTAGGTAGCCGATTAGGTCGGCTGGTCAACGGAAAGAGAATTCAAACAGAAACGGATTTTGAACAAATAAGTAAACTATGCAGAAAACTATCTTCTAGGTGCCATTATTCTTATAACTAATGAAATAGGTTTTGCGAACCATGAATTAACTGAAAATCACACAACTGCTGTTTTTGGACTGCATGCAAGGAAAGTTCAATAAAAATGATATGACGTATTGAAAAAACACTTCAATATGAAATTTTCGCGTGAACGTAATTTGTGCAGGGTATATTTCAAACATCACCAGATACTCACAGTGATTTTCATATTCAGATCAGAAACCTTCCTTGAAACATTTGACGTATCATTATCTTATATATCTATAACACTCAATCTTCACATCAATATACGACTATTTCGTTAACTATATCCAAAAGCAGTCTGGAAAAAGGATTACATTACCTATACAACGGGTTAGTAGATACAACTGTCTTCCTTAACAAATCAAGATGATTCAAATCTATAATAAATTAAGGGTTAAGGTTTCACTCTATGAGCACGCCTTTTAAAGCTCAGACAAATGTTTTGTGAATAATATCATATTATAATAGAGCGAAATATAATTATTAAGTTCAAGTGAGGTTTTTCATTCTTCGATGCTATATTGGAAAGGTGTCATTTCACAAATTTTTATTCCGGAATGTTAGCCATAAAAACTATTTTGAACATAACATTTTCGATTTTGATAGCCATATTTCTGAAATTTGAAGTTTGCCACAGTGTGACTTCACTTTCATGACCAGTGAATAAGAATACATATCTACTTAAGTAACGATAATTGAACTTACACATTTATCGTGAGGCACTTTTCCCGACAATTACTGAAATTTTTTCTATGCCTCAGATTCCAACGTCTGCTTTTAGATCATTTATACTTAATGTAAATAACAATAATAATGTATTAAAACAATATTTATCCAACAATCTGGAAACATTCGCATTTTATTCCGTTAGCCAAAATAAGCAATGCAGAGACTGATCTTCGCCCAATTAGTATTTTGTGTGCCATATCTAAAGCATTTGAAAAATTTGTAAACTTGCAGATACGTAACTACTTGAATGATTTCAATATATTACCTACATGTCAATCAGGGTTCCGGCCAAACAACAGCGCACAACAGCTCATTTGAAAGTTGTTGACGATTTACATTGTTCTCTCGAACAATGTAAATAATAAACTTTGTCTTCTAGTAATGCTGCACTACTCTAAAGCATTTGATCGTATTAACCACTCCCTACTTTTGGCAATACTGAAGTACTTGGGTTTTCCCTCTAGCGTGGTCACACTGCTTGGAAATTATCTGCTGAACCGTTCTCAGTCTGTGATACTGAACAAAAAATCGAATAACCTTGTAATAAATAATGGGGTCCCTCAAGGATCGATTTTAGGTCCACTTCTCTTTGTTTTATATACTTCTCAGTTCTCACAATGCTTTCTTCACACTTCCATGCATTGTTACGCCGACGATACACAGTTGTATTTATAATTCGATGAAAATTCAATCAATATTGCGCTCGAACAAATGAGTCATGATCTGATAACTGAATCAAGTAAGTATTGTCTCTCTGTAAACCCATCTAAATCTTGTGTCATGCTCTTCAGTAGGCCAAATGAAAAGAATCGTTGCAGCGAATTGATTAATATTTCCATCGATGGGGTTCAATTACCAAAAAGTGACGTCACGAAAAATTTAGGCCTCTATCTCGATAATTCTCTGCGTTTCACTATACATGATTCTCAGATTTTTAGGAAGGTTTATATGAATATAAAATTAGTATACTCGAATAAAAATCTTTTGAACAAAAAAAATAAAATATTACTCTGCGACGCACTGGTACTATCTCATGCAAACTATGCTGATACTGTTTATGGTCCAGGACTCTTAAAACCTGACAGGCAGAGACTCCAGAAACTGCAGAATTTGTGTATAAGACTCGTCACAGGCGTAAGAAGACGTCAGCATGTGTCTCAATACTTGGAACAACTCGGGTGGCTGAACATGGATGCTAAGAGCACACTGTATTCTGCTAGTTTATTCCATAAGGTCATATCCATTGGGAAACCTGTGTAACTATTTACGAAACTGTCCTTTAGAACCGATATACATAATCATAATTTGAGATTTAAACATTTTTTGACTGCACCTAAACGTCTCTTTTTTTGTGGATCTTTTTTATAACATTGCACGCTTATATAATCGGCTACCCATTGAATTGAAATCCCCATCACCACATAGTTTCAAGAAAAATCTGAAGAGATTTATGCAACCATCCGGTTCTCTTCTTTTATAATATTGATCAGTTGACACCTATACATAATATTTCTACATATTTATTACCATAAATATGTAGAAATCATCAAATTTATCATTACGTTTGTGACATGATTTTTCACATATAAAACATCAAATTCTCATTTATTCGTTTTTTGCCTCTCTTTTCTGCTTCTCTTTCTTTTTCTTCTGCCTGTATCCCTTCTTTTTTTTCTATTTTTCATTAAGTTCGATTGCAAATAATGTGTAATAATATAATTTATCTATTACTGGTTGGATAGAAGAGCAATTTCTGCCTTGATTTATCATGCGTCGACGTTGAATTGTGCCATTTGTTAGGTTAGATTAGTATCTCTTGTACTGTGTAACCTTTCAATAAAAACATTTAATATTAACCATTATTATTAATCCTCTCATGATTTCTGATTGTCTCTGCAAAGAGTTGATGAGTGGAAATGGAACTTCCGGTGGAAAATAATCTATTGGGGAACCAGAACCACAAAATTATATATTGACGTGCATTTCGCCAACCATGTAAGTATCATTAAAGGATGACTAAAACTATTAGAAACAGTGAAAACGAAATTATTATCAACATCTGTGTTCAAACGTACCTTCTTATTATCACCTTCCCAAACTCCTTGGTGTTCAGCAAATGTCCATAAGCCACTGCAACGAAAGCTCCGTGGGTGCATGATATAGAAGAAAGACTAATGGGGTCACCTTCGTAGAGTGTCTGATATATTTCAAACTTGAATTTATCGTTCATTTTCCAAATAGAAGTTCTTGGATCTTCTTTCCTGATGGTAATCAGGTATTGATGTTCTGCTACGCTCAACGCAGATGCCTGAAAATGTATGTGGTAGAGAATCGTAAAGTATATATCAAGGATTTCTTGAAGACTTTTTTTACAGAAAGCTGATTAAAAGAAATATATTTGATCGATTTTTTACTATCGATAATACAACGAAAAATTCATGAGTTTTCAACTGATATTAAGTTTAAGCAAGATGAGGTACCTCTTCATCACGACAGGAACAAACCAATATATTGGTAAACGTGGTTCCTTAGTATGACCCGTAGGATGGGTGAAATCTATAGTTTTCGTTACATAACCGTAATCAACTACCTAGCTTATGATGTACTGTTTGGAATCTTTGGTGTAGTAATTAAAATTACTAGAGTTTTTTCCCAACACCAAATCGTTATTTTCAACACCTCGACACGATCAGCAAGTGATCATCTTCAAGAGGAAGATTAAACTCAAACCTATCACTAGGTGATCGAAACACGTGTCGAGGTGTTAAAAATAACGATTTGGTGTTGGGAAAAAACTCCAGTAATATCCAGAGCTCATAGTTAGAATAAGAGTTGTTCCTGTCGAAACTACCCCAGAATCAATGCAAAATTAATTTGTTAACAAATGGCAACATTGTCAGGAAGTGAAAGGTGATTAGTTCAAACTGCAATGAACTTAATTGAACTTAAAATTATGAAACTTAAGGTTTGTGAATCCTTCAAATTAGTATAACACTGCTAATTATTCAGTAACGGCTGATCATATTTCCAAAAACAAAGTGAAATACCTATCAAGGGAAATATTACAAGATCCCCTTCTCTATTTGAAAACATAAAGATGCAAACGCCCTTTCGGCGAGTGATGCAACATTATTATCTTTCTTATCAAAATGTACTCAAATAAAACCTTTTCACGTAAATTTTGTCCGAACTTGATCTTGTTCCGTTCAAAAGTAAGGAGAACAGAGCTATTTACATTCACACTGTTTAATCAATTTCCTATCTTTTGAGGACCTCTGTGTCTTATTGGTGGTTTTCACTGATGTTCTTCGAACACTCTATTTTTTACGTTAAAACATGTTCTTAATGGAACAGGTTGCGCTAAAGAACGGTTCTAGAAAAGTTCTGCCGTAAATCCAATATTTCAGGAAGGAAAGTACGACCAAAATATCATCGCCATCAACTGTTAGATAGGACAGAGACTAGTTATTGCATATGTTCTTTTCTGAAACAGGTAGGTAGCAATCTTGACCAATGGGTTATCATTAACTCAAATCTTCACTATTTTCGAATAGGCATGAATCCATCTGCACCGATTCTTCCTGAAAGAACTTTCTAACTTCTCCTGAAGGAAATTGATTTAATTCAGTATCACTATTTAAGGTTTCCGATCTCATGATGTTGTGAAGTAGTAGTGCTCCAACAAAAAGGGTAGGATTGCTTCTTCAAAAATACCAGCAAGAATATGTCTCGTGTTCAAGAAAGAATTTCAAATGTCTTTCTATGTTTCTAACTTGGCCACTTATTAGCTGGAGTGCCATCAGTTCATGAAAAAAATTGTTCAAATTATGTATGTATTATCAAAATTGAAATATGTAACTTATTTGCTCAAGTTCTCATTCAGCGTTTTGCAATAGAGTTTTTTCAGCCTTTACGTAATGATATAGAAGAATTTTGACATTATTGTTGTAAATATTTGAAGCTCGAAGAATGAAAGCATTTTCCTGAAGTATCATGATATACGGAAGTATCCAAAGATGCGGCTGTCAACCTCTGTTCTGTTTCTGATTCATCAGTGTCGGTTGACATTGGTTGAAAACTTATTTGTTGAAGCTGTCCCGTTTCAGCAGGAGACAGAAGACAGAAAAACTTTCTTTTATATATCTTTTCATGTTCTTCACATCTTCAGTTTCAGGAACCCAAATAAAATCCAGGAGACGAGCGATTGGACAAGCTTGGTTATCTATTTCTATCTTCTTTGAGTTACGAAAAAATATATAGGCATCATCCATTTGTTCGAAGAATTTATCGACTTAGTTTCCAAAATACTATATTATCTCCACTAAAAAATCCAGGCTGCTTACGGTTCCTGCAAACACCGAAATATGTTGCCAGGAAAAAGCTAAATATGAACGTAGCTTTTGAAAGTGATCAATACTCATCAAGTTTCACGCAATGTGTAAGAAAGAATTTCGGAAACTGACAGGTCGAAGATTCATGAAATTAGTTATGAGGATTGCGACACAAGCATGTTCGACAAAACTAAATAAGCTTATTATGCCAACTTGGTTTATGGTTCTAGTAAGTGGGGATACTATTTTTGTTAGACTCATTGTGCGTGAGAGGTTTAAATTCCACTCCAATTGGCTTCCAACAAAAATATTGTTCTCACCATTTTTGTTGCATTTTTCGTGAAGCAAGTTGACATCATCGGGAGGGTGGCCAATTTTTCAAATAACTCAATAAGTATTCAAAAATCTCAGTGAGTTTATTATCAAGATACCACCAGCATTGGTGGTTTGGCCGGTAATGGTTCCGATGTGGCTGTTCTATCTATTTTTAATATTAGGTAGTACTCACCATGAATGGTTTCTCTGATTCCAGTCTTTGATGAATGTAAAATTCTTCATCAGCTCCCAAACAGAGTATGTTCATATCTAACGGGAAATCGATAAATAATAAACAGAAACTGTTCATACTCTCGATTTTGAAGGAAGTTAGAAAATGTGTTCCTTTGGTTAAAAATGTTGTATGCTTGAATTTGGTGCTTTGATCGAAATGAATCAATTCACCAACATGGGTATGATCTGCAATAAAAAAAAATGTTACTCTAGAATTTGCTTCATGCATCTCTGATATTGATTGCGTCGTAGCAATGAGTGGGAAAAGTAATAAAAATCACAGTTGCGCAATATATCTGAAAAAAATGGCGACCAAAAAATTCTGAAAAAGAAAAAGTTTGAATATCGAGCGATCATCAAGTAATTGTATTTGAAGGGGTTAGGAGGTAAGCATATTTACAAAAATATTCTTACCTTGTCGATCAAGGTCTTACGTAAGCGACCGTGAAAACTTGGATTACAAGGTTCAAAAGAATTTTTTCAGTGAGAATTGAAACCGATCGGAAAGTCAAGTTTCTATGTTCACTCCCATAAACATATATGCAATTCATGACAAGACTCAAAGGTCTAGAAGCTATACAATTTTGCTGAATTGAACGTATCCAAATGAGAAGAGACTTTGTCGAATAATAACATGATTTTCTCTTAAAGTTTGTTTGACATTCGGGAAAAATAATGAGTTGATAATTTTTTGGTATTGAACGATTTTTATTCGACAACTAGTGTAGGTCCACTAAAATTGTTATGTTGAGCATAACCGTACAAATTTCATCTTTCTTGAACCTTTCATAGATGAAATTGAAGAAAGAAGAGTTTAAGCAATCTGTGTGTCTCTGTGCAATTTTGACAAGAAAGCATCTTCAAATTGTAGATATTCGATTACTGTTGATATATTATAAATAAAGCGATCTTCATGATGCGTAATACATTATTAGTTGTCATGAGTTGTTCTTATCAATAACCCTCTGCTATCAATTAACCCCCTGCTATCAATTAACCCCCGGAATATCAGCAAATAAACACTACATAGAAAATTAGCTTGTTGAAAATATAGTGAATGATTGAATCTTTACTTGGATTAGCAGTGAACCACAAGAAAGGGGCTTCCACAGTCGACACCTCTGAACAGGGATCAATAGCAAGGCCTACACCGACGATTTGCCAACTTACGATGACCGCAATGACATCGGAGGCTTCGAATGGACGCATGGACTTGGGGTACATGCAAAAATGCATGTTCTCTGGTGTGAAACACATTCAGGGATTAAGCGTCCTAAGTTCGGCGTACTGACGTGATGGAAATCGATAGTGTCACCACCAACTGTCGCGTCATTCCACCAGTCGAAACACTCGGAACACGCAGGGTGCTCCACCAAATTAGGCCCCTGAAGCCACATTAGCTGGCTTGTTTGTATGCGGACGTTAATGATGTTTTCACAAAAGAGGCCGCCATGTACAGTGTCGTTTAATCGCCGGCGAGACAAGACGCGTCTCATATGCAATGCCTTAAGGATCACAGGGCGGCCAACAGGCATTTCACTCCCGCAGTAAGGCAAATAGCCGCCAAACTACGACGTATCCATCACACTTTGAGTCATGCTGCTGACCACCAAACAAAACTGCCTTGATAAAATTCCCCCAGTGAGGCGAGTGAGAAGTATTGCGGAAGACCTTATGTTTCCTAAGAACCTTTCCTGTTTATTGCAAGAGCTTATTCCGCGTATTGTGGATTATACATCGACTACTGATCAGGTAGAAACTTTCTGAAAGAGCATTCGCAAACACCCACAATCACTCAACTTAGACACTCCAGCCCTAGCACAGTTGAAATCTTTCAGCAGAGAGCTACTCAAACAGTTTGAGTAGAGCCTTGATGATAATAGCACGATCAACTGTCGAAAGTGCTCGCATATGATAAATAGGAGTTATAAAGCTTCAAATTCTTTCCCATATTGATTTCAATTTAAGAGCCACCGGTAGACAGCTGTTTCAGCCTATTGGGCATCGTCAGTACCGGGAAAGCGGTCCTCGATTGAAGACAAAATGTGACGTAATCCATCTTGAGTTCATGCAGGTTGAAGTCTGGCTCCCTTCCCCTTTCAACTGGTGTTTGTCAGAAAGACAAACGGGTCATGACTGGTGTTTAATGGTGGCATGAAAGTCCTCAGACATCCATACCGCCCTTCGCTGTATATCCCTACCTGGCTGGGGTGAGATGGATGAAGATATTATTCATCCGTTAACGGAGGACATAGGGGCCTCATTCGACAGGGTGTCGGGGCCTTCTAGGGGTCGTCTACAGCGTAATCTATAGCTTCCCTGACTGAACAAAATGTGAAAAACCAAGAAAAGTACTTAATAAAAATAACTGCGTAAACGCAAGCGAGACATAAGTGGAACCATCTATTGGTGTGACACCCAAGTCAACTTGCCAAGTTTTCATGTCAGTGTTGGTGGTTTGACCAATCAACCGACTACTGAGGTGGCAGAAATTTGGTAAGCTAACCTGGAATGTCATCGAAAAACGAATCCACATGTTTCTAGAAATGATATGAAATCGAGAAAGGTTAATGCAATCAAGCTGCTGGAAAATAATTCCATGAAAATTAAAAATGAATTAATAAGTGCCATTTTGATCATTCCCATAAAGCAGGAATGCAATGCAATACCCTTCTTGACGCCAGTTCCACCAACCAAATTGGCGTCTTCAGTTTTCTCCATTTCCTGAAGACGATGATTGTAAAAAGTGCTTGTTGTGGATACATCTCATTTCATTTTGCATCACCTTTAGAAAAAAATCTTACAATTTTCCTTCGAATACCTTATAACCTTCAGTTTCAATAGTTATTGTGATAAACACATGTGTCGTTACGTTCATTATAATAAAGTTTCGTTCTTCATGATATATGATGAAGTATCTTCATTATAACCATTAGTGTATTTTCACATTACATCCTGATTATCTGTGAATTTAGTATAACTATATAATGAATGTTTTGACGAACATTGCCTTAATTCGAATGCTATTTGATAATAACTGATAATTACAAAAGTTCTGGGGTCAATACGTGTTATTCAAAAAAATACTCTGCCCGTTGTTTACTTTGCAATCCGAAGATAATATAAAAATAATTAATCAATCAAGTCAGTCTCAATGTTTTTGAAGAAGTAAATCTCTTTGAAAACAATTTCTTGAAGAGCGGAGCAAATTAATCCGAGAATGATTAAAAGGTCAACCGATGGGCTGTTGATTTTGAAGCACTTTGACGGAATTACTCGCTGACTTATTCGACTTTCAACCCAAGCTAGAAATTCACAGTAATTATCGTTGATATCTCGTTATCCCGTAAATGTAATATTTCGACCCGGTGAGTGTAAAATAAACTGTTATCATTGCAATTAGACTTCTTGGACTAATGGTAGAAAACACCGGCGAACGACTTTAATTAATTCCGACTATTTTCATTAAGGCGAGTTTCCTGGAAACTTCTGGTGAACTGTCAACTTTGAACGAGACTTTTCTTCTAATTTTATTACTTTATATACACGGATATGCAGCAGTGATTGAGGTGAGACAGTTGACATGAAATGTAAACTTTCGCATATAATAGGGTTATTATTGTTCTCTGAACAATAGTAATTGATATACCCAAGACGGATGTATGATCACGTTGAGGCGCCATGTTGGATGTAAGAGTGATCGGTTGCTGAAGAATATTCAGAGGCCACATTCCATTTTTTACTTATTTTCAGCTTATATGATGTCTATAAACGGTTTACGGCCAATGTTTCTCAACGAATTCAAATCGAACCAAAGCGTTGCTGAAACAGCTCGAAAAATTAATCAGGAGATTTTAGCCTCGGAGATAATCCTCGAAGATGAGTCCCGAAGTGATCGACCTACAGTAATCCAGGGCGAGAATATAAGGACTCTGGTAAAGACTGACCCATCACAAACGGTGTGTGGGATGGCGGAAAAACTGAGAGTCGGCTCCCATACGGTTTTTGATGATTTTGAGGTCAGTTCTTTTTTGTTTTTGCGTAACCAAAACAATCCTTCATTCGATCGAATCGTCACGTGTGATGGAAAAGTGGACCCTCTATGATAACAGGAAACGTTCAGGACAGCGGTTGGACATCGATGAGACACTCTCTTTCTCAACAGAGTCCTATTTTAGGACAATCGATGAAATGTACCGAAAATTGCATCAGCAGCAGTCGGCACTGGTCAACAGAAGATGTCCGATCCTGCTCCACGATAACGGCAGTCCACACGTTTCACAAATCACAGTCCAAAAATTGAACGGATTCAGAGTCAAAGTTCTTCACCCACCATACTCCCCAGTCCTCTCGCCAACCGACTACCATCTTTTTTTCAAGCACTCACCGGTAGAACCTTCGCCAATCAGGACCAGGCAAAAATTGACCAATTTTTATGATGTCAGAATTAATCGACTTGTGCAAAAGTGCACTGATTCAAATGACTATCACCAATAATTTCCAAAACTACCTGTTTCATATGAATTCGACCAAAACGAGTAGATATTTATACAACGGATAAGTAGCTACTTTGATTTCAATAATTTATTCAGAGTATGTTTCTTGAGATTATGCTCAAAGTACTGTTGTACTACCCTAAATAAATTAACGCCGGCCGCCACTGGTAGTCATAAACCAATTGTGACGTGGTGAAGAGCGCGCTCAGTTCGACCGACATATCGTGGGTTTTTTACCGACTTCGATGGAATTTCGGCGAAGTTTATATCGTCTTCGATTACGATATATAAACGCTAGCCACGAGCATATCGATACAGTCAAGTGGAAGTTACAGTGCGGTACGCGAAGTGATTTAGTAAGGATAGACATTCGTTGAAGTTTTTGTTCTATTTAAAATGATCTAAAGTCAAGTTTGATTATTGTTCAGTGAAGTCAATTACTGGTAAACCCACGGGGAAAAACGTAACAGTACACTATTAACCAAGCAATATAAATACAATAATGATTTATCATGAAAACTAAGCTCGAAAAATTAATCAGGAGATTTTAGCCTCGGAGATAATCCTCGAAGATGAGACCCGAAGTGATCGACCTACAGTAATCCAGGGCGAGAATATAAGGACTCTGGTAAAGACTGACCCATCATAAACGGTGTGTGGGATGGCGGAAGAACTTAGCGTCGGCTCCCATGCGGTTTTTGATGATTTCGAGGTCAGTTCTTCTTTGCTTTTGCGTAACCAAAACAATCCTTTATTCGATCGAATCGTCACGTGTGATGGAAAAGTGGATCATCTATGATAACAGGAGACGTTCAGACAACGGTTGGACATCGATGGGACATTCTGTTTCTCAACAGAGTCCTATTTTAGGGAAATCGATGAAATGTACTGAAAATTGCATCAGCAGCAGTCGGCATTGGTAACCAGAAGATGTCCGATCCTGCTCCACAATAACGGCAGTCCACATGTTTCACAAATCACAGTCCAAAAATTAAACGGATTCAGAGTTGAAATTCTTCACCCACCATTCTCCCCAGTCCTCTCGCTAACCGACTACCATCTTTTTTTCAAGCACTCACCGGTAGATCCTTCGCCAATCAGGACCAGGCAAAAATAGCCCAATTTGTCAGAATTAATCGACTTGTGCAAAAGTGCACCGATTCAAATGACGTTTATTTTGATTGAATTGAACTTAACTATCACTAATCATTTCCAAAACTATAATACCTGTTTCATATGAATTCGACCAAACGATTAGTTATTTATGCAGAGTATGTTTCTTGAGATTATGCTCAAAGTACTGTTGTACTGCCCTAAATAAATTAACGCCGGCCGCCACTAGTAGCCATAAACCAATTGTTACGTGGTGAAGTGCGCGCTCAGTTCGACCGACATATCGCGGTTTTTTTACCGACTTCGATGGAATTTCGGCAAAGTTTCTACCGTCTTCGATTACGATATATAAAAGCTAGCCACGAGCATATCGATACAGTCAAGTGGAAGTTACAGTGCGGTAAGCGATTCAGTAAGAATAGACATTCGCTGAAGTTTTTGTTCTATTTAAAATGATCTAAAGTCAAGTTGGATTATTGTTCAGTGAAGTCAATTACTGGTAAACCCACGGGGAAAAACGTAACAGTACACTATTAACCAAGCAATATAAATACAATAATGATTTATCATGAAAACTGATACGAATCATTCCAGAGCTGAATTTTTTTCATACTTTAAAAAAGTTGCAGTTACAATTTTGCCCATTCAAAAACAAAAGGGAAATGAAAAGATAATAAAAATCGATACAGTTTTGTTGAATATCATAAAAAGTGTATTGGACACAATACCCGACTTGTAAAACCCCATTCCAAAGAACACACGGCATATATTTTCCTTCGAAAAGTTTTATATTGAGTAATATGTTTTAGAATTGTACAACGTAACAATAAAATACTATAATAATAAACTTTCGTTCAACATGAAAGAATGGACAAGTTTCCTTCAATGATAACTAAAAAAAATTTTGATTACAAAATCTACTTTTAAAGTACAGCTACCTAATATGAATATTCGAAACATTGAATTTATGAATGTTTAGCAAAAACTAGATTCAACATTTCTGGGAGCCAAAAGACATCAAGAAGTTTTTCATTACATCAGATCAGAGTAATAGTAGCAAGTAAAATTGAAGTTAATTGGTTTCATGAAGTAAATTTGACTAAATTTCAATACCTTCTGAAAATGATTGATTTTTAGCGTTTTTTGTGGTTCCCCATCAGTTTTTCAATGAATAAAAGTCTATTGTTATGAAATTTACTTTCAAAATGGTTTTGAGAAACCCAAAACATTGTGTTTCATAAATTATAGCAAACTGAAGTTATTGTTAGGTGTACATACCTGTAAAATCATCCTTCATTTCCTCTGACTTCTCTACTTCGTTTTCAATAAATACATAATCTCTACCAGCCATTTCAATTTGTTTGATGTAAACTGGATATCGACCCAGATTGATCGAATAGTCTGAAACCAATCTTGTTCTTAGTTATTTCATTTCTAGAAATTGTGTTTCATGAAAAAATCGGTAAATAGTAATAAAGGGAGTACACCAATGTTGATTAACGAGGCAGCTCAAATATAATTTTCACTTGTAATAGCTCAAAGGCACTGATAATCGAAAGATAATTTCACTATGAATTTTGTTTGACATCGTGAAAGGAGGGCATTTACCTAATTCAACTCAGTTGAGAAAATTGTAATGAAATATTTTTCAGTGTACCAGTGTTTCAATACATACAGTGTGTAACAGCGAAAACTTAACAGAGCCGTTTTTGAATATAAAAAGTAAGATTTTTAAAAAA